TAATAAAAACGTCGAGCCACTTAACAGAAATACGAAAATGAAACGTCTGGCAAAAGAAGCGGTAGCCTAAAAGAAGAAAATATTTAAAGAAATATATTTTTTCCATATGTAAAATATAATTATGGAAAATATAAAAAATATATAAAATCTAAAGATATTTATTGCATAGAGAAAAAAATCAAATAAGGATATTACGAATATAGTACTAATACATTTTCAAAAATTTTCTTTTTTTCTAAATTTTTTAATATAAACTTAAATTAGTCTGTTAAGTTTTGATTGTTGTTTATACATATTTAATGGAATGAAATAATTTTTTCCACGAATCTTTAGAAACAATTCAATTGCATATAAAATGTAATATATTAAACATTTTAAATATTTTCTTAAATTTTACATGAATTTAATTATTTATGTTTTTTCTATCGATAATTATTAAAGAATTTTCGAATATTTGATGATAATGAAATAATCTTAGAATACTAACCACTAAAACTTGATATCCAAATAAGCAAATTAATATACTATATACCAACATTTCTCCAAACGCAATCCTGGTATACACGTTCTCAAGATTTTGATAGAAATCGATCAATGCCTGATGATGTCTTACGCATTTCCTAAATTTCTCGTAAAATTCGGGCATTCGATTTGTCAATATCGAATCCTTTCTATATATCTCACATTCTATGTCACATAATTTCGTAAGCCTGTACTGAAGTATGCGAAATTGCCCTGCCAAGTGTACAGCCATGATGCAGAAAATATTGTCGAAACAAAAACTGGCGATTCCAATGTAATATACACACATTGCCTTGTAAAAAAAAATGAAAATTATTTTCTCTGTGTTACAAGAATGAAAAAAGAAAATTGGTACAGATATTTATTTAACACTATTCGAAATATTATAAACTATTGATAGGATCATAATTTCATCGAAAATTTATTATTTGAAAGAGATGTAAAGAAGATTTAAATTTATTATTAATGAAAATAAATATTTTAGAAATTATTTAATTATTTATTTGATCACTAAACGAGAAATAAAAATATATAATTTTAAATTACTTGTATAAGAAACATTATTTCGTAATAAGGAGTCTTTGATAATGGTAAATTTATCCACATATTGAACGGAAGCATTCTCTCGGATTCATTGTTTCCACTTTGTGCTGTAACAAATTTATAAACCGTTTGCTTTTTTCTATAGGATGGGAAAATCAATTCTAGAGGCTAAAAAAATTACAAATCAAAAGTATATAAAAATTTTGTTAAAAAAAAGGCTTATTTACTAATTTATAATCAATTTATGTTTTTATTAATTAAAGTAAAATAGAAATAGAGTAAGATAGCGTGACAGAGACAGAGAAATCTTGTTCCACTTCCGTCTTGCTTCGTATAACGTAGGACACTGACGCATGACGTGAACACTCTTTCTACTCCTCGGTTTTCTCCTGTATTTTGAACATTATTTACACTTATTCTAACACTTTCAATTCAAAATAAATAAGTTTCGATCGACATTTTGGGATATTTGTTTTTATTTCTAAAATCGATCTTCCAATAGTGTCCCATGAATGTATTATTATTCTTTATATTAATTGTTCATAAAAATTAAATCTATATTAAGTGTAGATAAAAATTTTATTCAAAATTAATTAAATTATCTAAAAATAAGGAAAAAATTTTTCCAATATACTTTCAAATTTTCTATTATTTCCTATTATCAAAATTTTTTTAGAATAATGAAATATTTTAAAAATAATAATTAAAAATTTATTTATTATATATAACAAAAATTAATAAATTTTATAATATCGTTGCATTATTTTTTAAATTAATAAAATTTATTTAATAAAATGATATAATAATTTGTTATTTACTTTTTTCCTGGAATATATAAAATTTATTAATTTTAATTATTTAACCTACCAATGAATGGTATTATTAGATAAGATATCATAGCGCATATGACCATGGTGGTAAGAGATGAGACGAAAAAAATGCATGTCTTTCTGCAATCGTCCAAAATTTCTTTTTCACGATAATCGTAGTTGACGCTCCAGAAATTTTGTTGCATGTACACAATTAGATTTAAAAATTTTCCTTTATATATTAATATGATACATATTTTTATTAAAGCCATTATCATAGTTATGTTATTCGTTATAGAATAAAGAATATCCTAAAAATGAATTGTTTTTAAATGAATAATTATATAAATAAATTATATAATAGCAGACTGATATTATATTGTAATTTATTAATTATTCAAACGATTTAAATATTTTTTCTTATTCTTTTATTAAATTCTTTGTAAAATGCTAATTATTATTATTATTCAAAATTCATTAATAACTTTATTATAAATTTTCTCTTTTTAAAATTTTTCTTACTTAAAAATAAAAATAAAAAAATTTCCTTCTAAGATCCTTTTAAGTATCAATTTTCTATTCTTAAATTTTAAAAAATTAAAATTCTTTATACAATAATCTAAAATTTCTCAAATTTTGTTCATTTTATCCATCACATTTTATCTAAAAAATTGAATATACTCACGCCGTTGTACAACAATGTAAAATACAAATCTCTGCCATTGATGACTATACCAGACAACAAGATCCAAGTTGTATTGATAAGCAACATCTTGATCTGACGTTGTTCACTAGGATTATCAGACATCCATACTCCAACATTCTTTAAGAAAAATGTCGACAAGTTCATCGATATATCCTGGCTTTCCGTTTGCATGATGACTGATCAACGTACTTTTCATATATCGTCCCACGCGTAACATTAAACGAGTATAAACCATGATAATAATTAATAATTTAATAGGGATTGATAACTTGTCAATTCCTTTTATTTTCATCGTTCTTGAATGCACGGTTTGTATTTGTCTCATTTCTTGTTCCTTTCTTTTCGACGAAAACATCCCAAATGATACGAAGTCAAGAGAAATGATTGTCACACTTTATGTTGTATTATTAATGAGACACGTAACATGAATTATAGCGCTGTGAAGTATAGTTGAAACCTTTTGATTGTGAGCTATGTGAGTAGCTATGGTAGTAACATGTTAGATATTGTTCGGATTTTATAGAAAGGTAATGATGAAGTGGAATATTATTGGAATTTTTGTTGCTGCAAGGTAGAAGAAGGTAGAAAAAGTAAATGTGAAAATTATTATTTTATATTATATTATATCTGTTGAAAAAGAATTGTAAGTAAGAGTTTATTAGATAAATTGAATAATTGTATTTTTTTATTTTATTGAACAATAATATGAAATATGTGTTTTCTTTTACTTGTTAAATATAATTATCTATTTAAATGTATAGTCGTAATGATATTTAATTAAGTTAGTAAATTATTAATTAAATAAATAAAAATTTAATAGTTAATAAGTAAATTTGTTTCTTTCTGGAAAATTATTGATTATTGATTAATTGATTAGTACATATTTTTCCATTATTAACATTAATCATAGTTAACATTATTTATTTATATCTTTTATTTGAAAAAAAATATGTATTTTCATAAAAAATCCGCAGTTTAATAGTGATTATGTTATTTACCATTTCAAAAAATTATCCTACTATCTTTACTCTTTTTTTAATGGTCCTCAATATGAAACATTTAATCTGAAGTTTAATATTTAGATTAATAAAGTAATTTGAAGAATAGTTTGTTAATGAATCGTTGAAAATTTATGAGTTATTTGCATTTTCTACGCGATTACTCAGTAATGTGAAATACGATAGTGCTGTACTTAAAATCTGTAAAAAAAAGACAAAAATTTATTAATATTTTAAAATTTCGCTTTGATTAAAGATAACCCATGTTCAGTGATTCTTAAACTTATGTTTTATATAATTTTGGAGATTTAGTGACAATTAATGACCCAAATTTTTAAATGTTTTTTTAAATATAAATTTTTTTCTATTGTTATTATAACGAATATAATACAAATATTATACACTCTTAATAATTTTTTTTTTTACAATAAACTGTTAATATTTTGCATTATGTTACTGCAATAAATATTTCAATAAATTAATATATAAATTCAAAAAAAATATATATATTGTGAAAAGTATTTACGAATTTTTGAAGTTTAAGAATCATTTTATTTTATATTGAATTTAAATTTTATAAATTAATATATAGGATTATAATTATCATTCATCATTAACAATTGACTATTATTTTAAATTATTATTTGATATATATCAATTATACCACTTGAGATAATAAAATAATAAATTGAGACTTTTGATGATGCAAAAATGCATTCAATACTATATATAGACTAGAATTATACCTACTTTAGTACATGTTTCTAACGATACAGGAAAAAATCCATTCGCGGTCAGACAACAAACTCTTCTAGATCGCCTTATTACAATCATCAAATCCTTTCGAAATATTTTTCCAAATTTATCCATTGGCATAATCGTCCACAATACTGAGTAAGCTCCTATAGCAACGTTATCACTGTGCTCTATCACACCGTTGCAGCTGTAGGTGACCATA